AACTATGCCTATCAAATACATTTTCAACATTTTGCTATTAAGTAGTGTTTTAAAACATTACCAACAATTACATGAGTCCGAACATATATGGTATAACAGGTTTACCTGTTTTGTCATTTTTAATAAATATTTATAATATAAATAATATATGTAACCAATTTAATGAATAATAAGATTATAATTATATCAAAATTAAATTTTGAATTTAAATTTATGCGAAAACTTGATACCACCAATAAAATAAAATTAAAAAAAAAACACATCATTTCAGTATTTTTCCAATATTTTATTTTATATATTCGTCTTAAAACCAACAAAAAGATCGTACCGGTTCGTTAAATTTCATCCGTCGCGCCGGTAAGACGTCTCGTTTCGCATGCTTCAAGCTTCATTTCCGCGTCAATGGCTACCGGCAAAAGGCAACTGGATAACCCATTTCTCGCCAATTCCATCCTCTTCGACGCTATCTCTCCACCTGTGCGGGTTCCTATCCGGCGACGCCGTCCAAATCCAGCGGGTCACCGGCGACCTGCAGTTCGCTATTCAGTTCAACGACCGCAGAAAAGAGAACCTCTCCGGAGAACCCACAAGTTGAGTTATTATCAGGGTAGAGATTTCGGCTTTTCGTGGTGTATTTAGAGTTCAGGGGGGAGAAAAAGGGTGGATTAAAGGGAAAACGAGGCCACATAAGGTGTTTGATAAAATGATCAAGAGGTGGAGTTTTTTCAGGGAGGCCTTGCAATGCCTGTGCGTTATATCTATGAGGAAATGGGGTGTGGTTAAAAGCTGTTTGTTTGTGGAAAAGAGCAAGAAGATGTGCAATTGCAAACTCTGTCAGGACAGAGAGAAGGTATCTTTATTTATATCTCCCCTTTTTTTTCTCCATTTATTAGAATGTAATGTTCTGACTAGGAAGATGGTCGGGTGCGTGTTTGATTTTGATGTTGTTTTTCTAATGGTGTTGTGATAGGAGCATGAGGCCACGGATGTGAAGGACTACACACAGCATAAGAGGCAATGTTTTACTGAGGAATGATATTGAGCATGATTCGTGGTTTCTTGCAGAATCCGGCTAAGGTTATTTATCCGTCCAAGTATAATTAATAGACATGTTTTTCTTTTAAACTCTCATATTGAGTTATTCGTGTTAATTTTAAATTGTGGCGTCTTGTTTCTGGGTTTTACATCAGTAGACGTAACTCTGTTATGTTTTTAATACATAAATATAAGTCTTATTAGATTGTTGATAAAGAGTTTACAGTACAACCCGTGAACCTATCACGAGTGAAATCAGCTCACTCACAAAGTGACATTGGGTATGCTTAAATGAAGAATATTATGAATTTTTGTTTATAAAATGACCTCGAAATAGCTCCTGAATATATCATATTGTGCCGGGGGAATTTGTGTTTCATACCAAGTCCTGTTTCAAGAATGTCGATGGAGATCAATCAGGTTTGATTTCATTCATATGAATTAATTAAACCGAAATGTCTTTGATCATGGGTTCAGCTGGATTCATCTATTCAGTAAGTTAAACTCTTTATAAACTCAGATTAAATATATATGGCAAAGGAAGACGAGAACTCTACTCAGGGATACATGAATTTATGTCCACACTATTCCCAAGACATATATTATGCACCATAATAGGCCAATGAATAAAGCATGAAGACTCCACCAGAAATCCAACCTTTTTTTTAGAAATAAAATATAGTGCGTTGAACTTTGCACAGCTCGTGCAACCCGAGAAGTAGAAATGAATTGTTCGGCCACCGTGTTATTCACTTGTCTCGGGTTATACTACTGCCTGTTCTAGCGTAAAACTCAAAGTGAAAATGGCTTTGTGTAGATATCGAATGGTTCGTTAGCACTAAGTTGTGGTTCCTGCAAGCAACACAAGAGCCCCATTATATCAATCTTAATTGTTTTTTTAGCATCGTATTACACCCTAAGATCTCATTGTTTGATGGGTTAGTTCATTGACACCCATCACTAGTTCGTAGTCCATAATAGCTGGCTAAGACAATATATGAGCAAGTAGTTGTGAAAATTACTTTTATCTCATTTGGTTCTGTTCTAAAATTTTTTAAAAACTATGGTAGAAATCCCGTCTTAATTATTTTTTGTAAAACAGAGCTTAATTTCTTCAGTTACCGAAAAACTGCATACCTGTTTTAGTCCAATACCAGCACTTCCTCCCGTCAAAAGCATTGTAAGAAGTGTAGTCACAGCACCATTAGCTCCTCCTGTCAACTCACTATCTGTCTTTCGTATTGTTGATCTCATCGCATTTAAAAGACGCCCGTACGTATTTCCTTGTCCCTTTTCTATTGCTTGGATGAAGGCAAAGGTCATAGCCCCAGTAGCAGTCTCCTTAGATAGAGCCTGGTTCAGTTTTTTTTCCATCCATGTCAATTTGCGTTCAAAATAGCGTTTGAAGAGTTAGTGAGAAACTTACAGATGTATCGGCCGAGGTTTGATCATCATCACAACCGCTAAAGGAAATGACTTCTCCACCACTCGTGCCTTTCCATGTCCCTGTCGGAGGACGATGGTCCTCCCATGCACAACGTCCACTTCTGCATGAAAGTGATTAAATTCATTACTAATTTTAATTTAGTGTCAGACTATGTTTGGCAAAACTAGCTGATAGCTGATAAGTGGTTTTCAAGCTTATGGCTTATGACTTATAGCTGAAAAGCTAGCTTATATGATAAAAGTGTTTGGTAAAATTAGCTGATAAGCTAGCTGAAATAAAAATTTCGATGGGCTTATTTGAAAAGCTATCCAAAGAAGCTTTTGAGATAAGTTCGAGCTTTTTAAAAAAGCTCTTCCTACCAAACCAAGCTTATTTAAATATAGGAAGCTTATAAGCTAATCAAATAAGCTATAAGCTAGCTTATATGTTTACCAAACACAACCCAATTCTATCTTTGTTTTCTGATACAAACCTGTCCATTCTACAAACATACGGTAAATCAAGGACCGTGCCACTATGACATGCATCTATGATTGCATGAAGCTTGACCCCAGTCGGTAGAGGCTTCACAATTGTCGCATTAATTTCATCATCAACAATCATTCCCTGTGTCTCGTAGTCCAACGGGCATAATGTCTCGTCAAACCCATCAATCTCATCTCCTTTGTAGTTTCTTTGTTGTGAGCCGTGGCCTGAAAAATGGAACACGAGCGAATCTCCTGCCTGACAGCCTTGGACTAGCCAAAACAGTGCCATCCGCATGTTGTGTTTTGTTGGGATTCTGTAGGGATCAGTCTCCTCTTCTGGAAAATAAGGTAATCTTTGGATTAATTGTTTGAAACATTTCATGCAATTTGGAGGAGCTCTTTATTTTCTTCTTTTTCTTGTATCGGGTAATTTCTATTTTTCCTCTTTTGGTGGACTTTTATGCATGATCTAGCTTACTGTTGTGAGATCCCTTTTAAGTTCTAAGTGCAAGCAGTGCAGCTTTAGTCAAAGCTAACCTCATGATTCCTTGCTTTTGGCCTACACCTTTATACTTGTTCATGTTTAATGTTCTCAAAAGTTAGGTTATTTTCAAGCGTACTTTAGATTGATGATTACCAGAATCACGGTCACGTTCAAATAGTGAGACATCACCATCCAGTCAATTTATTCAACATTAATTTCAAAAAAGGAGATTCATTTCCATTTTCTTCTGAGTCTTGCCTTGTTATAAAGACGTCATCCATCTTTTCAGTTGTCTTTTTAGTGTCTGTCATGTATATTTTCAGAAAACCAATCTGTAAAGCAGACCGACAATGTAGCATGGCTCAAAGTCAAACTATGAATTCTTAGTTCAAACTGGCAAACAAATGTACGTCTTCTAGTAATTTTTTTGAGTTATAAGTGATGAACCTGAAATTGAATACTTTTTAAACTCGTACTTCTGAAATTTTGGTTTCCAACTTGCAATGCATACATGGGTGCAAGGTGTATAATTTGGGAGAAATAACTAAAAATAGTCATTTGTGATTTTGAAAATATTATAGATAAGGGACTTTATCTTTGAAAATTGCGGAAAATATACTGTGTCAGATTCAGGATTTATTGTAATCCAAGCATGCCAAAATTATTTCTTGGCCAGCAACTTCTCATTGAAGTTTGAAGTTTGAAGAACAGGCTCATATTCAGGTAAAACCTCTGGCATTCATCATACTGTTTACTATAGTGGATATAGTGGAAGACCAAAGCAAAGCTGAAAGGTTAAAATAAAATAAAATCTTGATCCTATATTAGCTGTACCAATAAACAAGTAAATTTGCCTTAGCATGCATATAAAAAGCAACCCTTGCACTTGGAATTCCAGCTACTCAACACATCAAGTTGACAATTTAAATCACCCTAGTACCCTACCCTCCATAAAATAAATAATAAAAATACAAATAACAATTAATTATCAAGTTGACCTTAATCAAGTCAAACCTCAACCCAGAGACCAATAAAACACCACACCTAAAAATTCTAGCACCCCTCCGAACCAAGGCA